TGAATCAGCTAAAATTTTCATTATATATTTAAATATAAACAATACTTAGCAACAGTTGTCCTAGGTAATAATAATAATTAGTAGTAAAATTAGTAGAGTAAAAAATACATTTATATCTATATTTTACGTATTACCATCGACAGATAAATGAACATGAAATGAATATGTAACAAAAATATTTGAAAGCGCTTCAAAACCTTTAAATATTAAAAAATATATATAATCAATTGGAGAAATTTTAAGGAAAGTTCTTAAAGTAATAGACACAAATTCCAAATAAATATTTAAAAATTAATAAAAATATAATTTTAATATTTTTCTCTCACAAAAGAATTTTCCTGAACATAATTTTTCCCCATTTTAAAAGGTATTCAAAAGTTGTTTTTCCTTGATGGTGGTTCGTCTTAGCATTCTTACTTGTCTTAGCTGGAAAAGCATGAAAACCACACGCAGCAATTATTAATTCAATTATTTTAGCGCAAACAGCCACCTCAGACTAGGAGCGAGAGTCCTGAAGACCCAGGACCAAGTCGCAGGAAGCTGCGCGGCATAAATGAGTGCTCTGTGTGTGTGTGTGTGTGTGTGTGTGTGGAGTGGATGAAATAGAGTAGCACAAACACAATTAAGACAACACTGCGAAGGAGCAAAGGGAATGCCAGGATTCAGAGCGAATGAAAGGAGAGCAAATAAAGTGGGAAATTTAATTAGGAATCAGCAGTGAAAGAAGAAGTGCAGGACTCGCAGGATAAAGCTGTTACTGCTGCTTCAGCTGATATACCTGATGGGGCTAGCTGACCGGACATGTGAATTAATAACAGCATCCGTTTCCGGTCAAAAATGTAGCCTCGCACTCGCTGGTGAGTAAAAGCCTCAGAGGGTCCTGTGGAATTATAATAATAATATTAATAATGAGTGGCCAAAAAAGCAGCAAAAAGGCGGACTGCAAACGGCGGCCAATGTGTCCGTAACAACTTCCGGCATGAAGTTGGACATTTTATTGTCCCCGGAAAAGTTTTCCCCACCAAAAGGGGGGAGGGAGGAAAACAAAGCGAATCTAGGTAAATTGTAAATTGTAAAGTGCAAAAGTTTTGGCCAAGTTGAAGTCACCTGCTCGGGTTCCCAAACTAGCTTGTACCGAGACGAAGGAAGCAAATCGAAATGAAGTCCTTTTTTTTTGTTTCAATTCCAGGACAATTGGCCCCAGACACAGAGGGAGCTCCTCATCAGGCATCAAGGTATAATTTGGCCAGGGACTATTTCATTTTACGGCCAAAGTGCCGCATTTGCATAAAGTTTTATTTTCTTTGACCCGCACTTGGGGACTTCTTTCCTTTCTGGCCACTGTCGCGTCGTCCTTTTTCCCTCTCCTCGTCTTCATCCTGCCTGATTTCCATTCGTATTTCGTCTACTTTGTCGCCAGGAAGTGATTTCCTGCAGCTGCAGCTATTGAAATTCAATATCTTTGCCAAAGCATGGGGGCGGGAAATCCCCCACGGGGGAATATCCAGCTCCTTAAAGTCCTGGGATCAGCTTTAACAAGTGTTTGCACCACATCCACACGCACACACACATCAGTCAATATGTATGTATATATTCCCGTCGAAAGGTAATTTGAAAATCAAACAAGCAGCGACTCCTTGGCAAATCCTTTCAATTGCTGCAATTTACAGGATAAATAGGATCAAAATCGAATTTAAACGGCAAACAAATTTTTTCCCTGATTTCCATTTTGTTGACAGAACTTTTCACTTATGTTGCCGAATAAGCAGATTAGGCCAAGATAAGGGTAGAGCAGACACATATCTATATATCGCACACACCTACCGCCCACAAGAGGGTAAATATGGATAACACGCCTCTTTATCGCCTTTTAAATATATGGAAATTTGCAAAGAAATCAAATAAAACTGATATTTTCTTGCTATCTTAGGTGACTTAAAATTCTTTTTGTTTACTTGTGACTTTGTGAAATTTATATTTAATGTTATATTGATTTAAATAAAATATTAATCAACCTTCTTATTAATATTTCCAGGTTATTTTTAGTCAGACCTTTGCAGCGCAGTAAAGTAATAGATTCTCTTTAGCGTTTTTCCAGTCCACTTAAAACCTGGAAGTTTATTGGAAGTGTCCATCTGATATTGAGCGCATCGCCGTAACTCTCTCGCTCTCGCCTCTTTTGCCCGCCGCCTTCCAATACGGCGGAGCGACTCTCACGGTGGTCGCTGAAAATCAGTATCTCCCACGCCACCGCCAAACGTAAAGCAAAAACGAGGAGGTCCGCATGGCGGAGATCACGGCGGTTGAAAAATAAACTAAACAGAGGGAAAAACACCTCGGAAAAGTGAGAAAAAGTGTGGAAAGTCGGTGAAAAGTGTTAGTAAAGTCGGAGCAAGGCCTGCAACAGCCTCCGGCCGCGGCTGTAGCAAAGTATTTATGTAGGAGATCGCGGCGGGTAAAAAATCGAAAGGCAGAAAAGCGAGGAAAAGTGTGAAAAGGTGTGTAAAATATGTGGAAAGTGTGGGAAAAGTGTTTGTGAAGTGAGGGCAAACCTTGTAAAAGCCCCGAGTCGCAACTGTACCAAGATCAGTGCGTAGTTTTCAGCAAGTGCTTTTTTTTGCATTTTTTTTATATGTATGTATGTATACATACAAGTGTGGAAGTGTGCAAGCGAGAAAAGAAGATCAAATGCCGAAAGGCGTCGCAAAATTTCTATTCTCTCCTCGCCTCGCCTGCCAATCGTTTCGCTACACTCGAAAAAAAACGTGCCGTTCGCATAATTAGGAATATATAATAATAATTATAAAAAAAATATTATATAAACGAACAAAAATAAATTCAAAATTAAATAATAATAAAAGAAGAACGAAGAAGAAAATAATAAAATTAGCGGTTGAACTTTTCGTTGTGTGTATCTCCGCCAACTTATTCTAATTCACCGTTATAATCGGGATATGCAGCAACAACAATGTAAGCAGGTGAGTGAAGCAACTGAAGCAACAACAACAACATGTAAATGGGTGAGTGAAGCAAATTTTGTTTTCTTTTTTGTCGCATACTCCTTTCTTTGCCTCTGCGCGCTCATTTCTTTACTCTCCTGCCCTTGAACCAAAATGCCCTTACTAGCTTACTCAGCTCTCTCTCTCTCTCTGAGCGACCTGGAAACATAGTGTGAGGGAGCCTCTTAGAGAGTACGATCCACTCTTGTGGATCTCATTTGGAAAGCTGCTGCCTTTGTTTACCTTTTTTTCCCTTGGCAATTTGTAAAGTTTGAAATTTGAAGAAAGAAAAATCTAAATGCTTGTGAAATTTAGCGAACTTTCTTGTAATTTTATTGTATTTTTAATTTTTAATATATTTCTGCTTAGAAAAATATATCAAAACAATAATTTTATCCGTTTTGTATGCTCTTTAGGTTTCGTTTTTAACCGCCTCAGAAATATTTTAATTAAATTTTGCATTTGCAGTTGAATGGTTATCCCTGTGGCAAGGCAAAACTATTTCCGTGCCTCGAACAAAAGTGAAATCATTCGATTTTATTTATTTTCACTCGAAACTTGAAACTTTTCACCCCTCTCTCTCTCTGGGAAAAGAAAACTTGCGCAAAAAGGCAACCGAAAACTTTTAGAGAAAACTTTCTTGGTTCCTCCTCTGTTTAAGCCACCCCTCCTCCTTCCGCCTTTTCCACAAACATAAACAAGATTAATTTCACATGTTTTCCAGAAGGTGGAGCGGTCGGGGAGGTGCGGAGGGGTGGAAAAGCTGCTCGAGTTATTACTTTGATTATGTTTATTCTAGTCATGAAATCCAAAGGCTCGTTTCATGTGCACTTCATTTAATAAACCCCTGCCACGAAAATGAAGGCGCGAAATGATTTCCATGGCATTTTTGCCAGCTCGTGCAAGTTTTCCTCATTTCTTGTGTGATTAGCCAAGTGAAAAAACAAGAGATTAGAACCAACTATTTCCAACTTCATTTTGCCCGAGGATATTATCCTGCAGGAGTGTGAGAATTTAGTGAGGTGAGATGAAAGGATACCCATGTCATTAATTTTTGGGGAACATTTAATATGGCTATGGTAGATTAAGATAAATACTTCATCTCTTGGAATATTTATATATTTTATTATTAATTAAATTTCTATCTAATTATTTAAATCCCACCTTGTTCTTGGCACTCTACCTTCGATTAAAGATAAGTTTAGAGCTATTTAATATACCAACTAATCTAGAACCTGTCTGTGATCTTTCCACTATCTGCCAATTGGCTGGCAAATTTGGCCAACATCCAATGTATGATGCACATCTATATATCTAGATATGTGGCGACTCTTAAGTGCTTTTAATTATGTCCACTTAAGTCTCAATATCGCTCAGCTTCCGAAGCGAGCAAATCACACACAAGAGCCACACGCATCGTCATTGCAGTGGGAAAGATGTGAAAACAGGAAAAGCAGAGGCGGGAAATTCCCCCCTTTTTCGCTCCGCGCTCGGCGCACTCTAAATAAAGCATAACAATTTATGAAATTTTAATTTTTACACTTAATAACACGCCGAGTTATGGGCGCGCCAAGGGAAACGGCCCAAGCGAATTTTCCGCGGCGGAAAAGCGCTTATAGAGACATCATCGTGAGACGCCCGGGCAGGTGGCCCCACCTCCGGATTCGGTTTGGATTCGCCATCGGACCGGGCTCCCGGAGTGGGGCATCTTGTGTGGCGCAACTGCAGACGTTGGGCGCAATTAGAGACGCTCGGTGCCCGCTATATTTTTGGCCACCGGCGGACCAGGGGATTATGCCATAAGTCTCACGTGGCAAAAATTAAAGAAAATATCAACAGAATGGAGCACTAATTTCAGACATTTTTAATATACTTTTAGTTGGAAATTCGCTAGCTTCAAATAATTATGAGTTCTTTACTTTTTTATTTTAATTTTTATTATGGAGTTGGTTTTTTATGCTTTGAAAATATTACCAAAACTCAAGGCTTATTCTCTGTACATTCGCTTCATATTCCAAACTTTTAATATTTACATATTTACAGAGATTTATGCCAAAGGTTAGGCTAAACTGAAAACACTGACCGATCCAGAATTTAAAATTTTCAAACTGGGTAGAAAAATTTGAAATCCTGGTCGGTCCATTGAATATCACATGTTCCCACCCCAAGTCTTTTTTTTGACCTTCTCAAACATTGAAATTTTGATTGACATTGGAAATGGGATATTACTGCTCCTGACTCTTGCTGGCTATATCCTTACTTTCACTTTGGGCTATTTGGCCAATCAAATGATTGATCAATCCTTGCTGCTCTTGTTCTATTTGGGTTTGAAGACGTTGTTGCTCGGCCTCCTGGCGGGAGGCCAACGATTGGAAGAGATGCAACTGCTGCAAAATATCGGAAACCTCGATTCCAGTTTCCGTGCGCCTGATGGGATTTCTGATGATTTTAGGTACTTGGCTGTAGTTAATCTTTGATGCTGCCGGTTGCTGGTCGAGTGATTGGATGACATTCTCTTTCTGCGACTTGTGCAAGTCCTCGAAATCAGCTTCTACACGCTTGATGGGTGTCCTGATGCTTTTAGGGATATTGTTATTAATCTTCGGTGAAATTGGGATTCGGGAATCCCCTCCTTCTGCGCGATTGATGATCTTGGGTACTTGGTTATTATTATCACTCTTCGGCGATTCCGGAATTTGGAATCGTTGCTGCTCCAGGGAGATTCCCCTACTTCCATGCGCTTTATAGGAGTAATGATGCTCTTGGGACCCTGATGGTTATTAGTCCTTGGCGGTGGCTTCAATTTAGCCAGCTCCTCTCGTTTTCTAGCCATTTCATTGCGTTTTAAAGCCACTTTGGCCCCATAATTACGCCGTCTTTCATTGGCACTATTGGCCTTCAAGACAATCGGCTCGTGAGAGGAGTCATGTCCAGGTGCGATCACAGGAACCTCAGGTGGTTGATTCGGGGTCAGAACAAGTGTTCGATTGCGCCTTATGGGAATCTTGCTACGAAACTTGCTTTCAGTCGTCTTGGTTGAAGCCACGGAGATTTGAGTGGCACTGGAAAAGGCCACAGGTCGTCCTGGCATTCGTTCCTGGCCGGGGCGTACTCTCAAATCTGTGGTGGTAATGGAGCGTTGCAGTGGCTCATTAGAGTTAATTTTGGGCACCAAGCTGGATATCATGGTACCCTTCTCCATGGGCAAGATCACTGCTCGTTGCGGGGCATTCTCTATGACCACGTGAGATGCTTTTAAAATGGGTAGAGTCTTGCCTGGAGCAGTCGTAATTAGCTTTTTTGTGCTGTGATCATAGATTGCAGTCTCCGACTTCTGAAGTTGCTGCCGGAAGCGACCCATCACAACCAGGGGAGCAATGGATGTGGTAGTAGAAACGGAAACGGGGTTGGATTTTGGTTTAGGATTGGTATTGGAATTCTCGTTCAGTGCAGTATTAGTGGCGGCATTAATCATGCGTGGCATCAGGCACTTGATCTGCTTCTCAGCGACAGCTGGCTTGCTCCTCTTCAGGGTCATCTCTATGGCCAAGGCTTGCATTCGGAGCTGCTGCATCTCCAGACGTTTTATCTCGGTCATCTAAAGGTTATCAAGAGAAGGTTATAGGGGCTTATATATTCATTTAGCTTTAGATACCCACCAAAGGCGGCAAGATGTGTACCCCATCTAGGCTATAGGCCGACTCGAATTTATCACTAAGTCTGTTCAAGTCGGCATGGACTATCAGGTGCTTGGATATTTGCAGCGTGCACTCGTTGTTCATTATGTATAATTTTCAGGTATAAAATATTCAGTGTGTGAAATATTTTAAGGAAATTTGTTCACTCGTGTGTGCTGTGTTGAGTAAAATAATAGAATGAACTTCAATTTAAAGGAATGCGAAGTAAACCAAAAGGCTTGTGACAGTTAGAAATGAAAGTGTTTGCATGGCATGCTTTTCCACACTTTTTGGAAGAATGAATGAAATATATTTTCAGAACAGGGTTGCTGTTCATGGACAATAAATAAGTTCAGTTCTTGCTGTGACACCAAAATATCCTTGACTCTAGCTTAAAGATTTCTCCAAGTGCACAACACATGCAATCCTCACCCATTTGGCAGTCCGTATTCGTAGCTATGTCCCGTATTCAAGTCCATATCCGGACGGAGGCTGACAAATGCGCCGCTCGTCGCCGGAGCGTGCCACAAAAGGTACGGGACATTCGGGCATTCGAGCGTGGAGCAGCAAACAAGGCGCCCAAAATAAAGTCCACTCCATTACCGGCAGGACTTTCGGTCCTGAGTCCCGGCCAAACACACACACACTAAGGTATTAGTCGTCTGGACTGCATGTCGTATTTTTGGGGGGGAAAAATTTGTCTTGGCCGCTTGTAGGTGTGATTTGTTTTTTAAATTTTCAGGCTGTTCAGAGGGGGGAGCTTTGAACTGGCCAATTTGTCTCTCCCCCGTTCCTTTTTATTTGCCAACAAAGTCACGTAGCCTTTTCACTTGCATGCAGACTTGCGACATGCGGCAATTTTCCACTAAATTTGCCATGTCAAACATAAGTATTTCGACCCGAACAAACAGCAAACCTGCTTTCTTCTCTGCTCATAAAGAATTCAAATTAATACATTAACTGCTTTGGGTGCGAGGGAGGGCCGGAATCCCAGGTAATAAGCGCTGAGATGTTCGTGCCAAAGTCTCGAAAGTTTCGCTTGCAGGCAATTTGCTTCAAGTGGCAATTCGGGAGCGTGCCAAGTGCCTTGGTAACGGTAACAGCCCACGGATTACACAGCACACCAGAAGGGGGGTTGAGGTGGAGGCTTTTACGGTCTAACCGCCGACACCACAAAAGGTATTTATCTCATTGTGCGTAGATTAAGAGATGCTCTCAAATTAGGTGAGTGTCGTCACGTGATGAAGATAAAGCTGAAGGCGGCAAACCAAATAGGAAGTTGGGGATAAAAGGTGGCACAAACAGGAAGTACTGACTTGGGTTAAACTGAGCTTGACTTTATACCAAGATATCTAGAGGCTTTAATCTGCTATTGTAGGGTATTTTTTAGATAGTAACCTTAGCTAAGAATCTTCTCAGAACAAAACTGCATTCGTCTCCATTTCCACCTCTGACTAGGCACAGCTTAACCCCTTGAAACCCCAGTTTCCATTCCTATCCCTCTGTGTCTCTAAATCCTAACCAAAAACCAGACCAAACGCAGCCAGACTCTGCTCCGGTTACACTTCATAAATTTAAAGAATTATGAGCCGTGACGCAGACGGAAGTGGAATGCAGCCGCAGTGGGAACACGTCCGTCGCCAAGTGGCCAGGACATGCCAGGAGGAGTACGGGCATTGTGAAGTGAACCGCGCGGAGAGGGAGGTCAACAGGTAATAACGGTTGCACGATTGGTTGGCCCCGACAATTTCTGCAGAATTTATGTTTCAACCTCAAGTGGAGCGAGGCAGCGTGAGTATCTGTGTATCTCCTGGATCGGATTACAGACTATAGCTTTCCTTTCATACTTTTTATTTTACGAGAGGAATATCCCCTGGTTTTATGGTTGGACAATCGATGACAGTTGAGCATTGATTTTCGCTGAGGCGGAGGGTTTTTTTTTCTCGCGGGATAAGGTTCAAGACTAAAGTTCAAAGCTTTTTCATCGCTTTAATTGAGTTGCCACAGGCTCATGCATATGCAGGGCTCAATTAAGAGTGCGCCAAGAAAAAGCGAAAGACAAACAAAAACTGGCGACGGTGGCGTGGCACAAGGACGACTCCTTTTGTCAAGGGTGGGGGATGAGAAAATGTCTGCAAGTGACTCGCAGTCGAGTCCGCTGTCTGTTGACATTTCGCGGTATGGAAAAAATTAAATTAAAATGCAAATTAGGCATTCCCGAGGAGTCTGGCTTGCGGCATTCAACTCCTTGAGTCCTTCAGAGGCAAAAGTGACAAATTGTTGTAAACACTGCAAGTTACGTATACGCCTCGTGGGACAACCGACTGTCACCTACGAAATAAGGGTCTCAGCTCTCAGAACTCTACCTTATATTGTATACATATTTTATCGTAGAGCCAAGGAGCACCGACTTAGGGCCAAGATGAATGTTTTTATTTCTACCGCCTGCTTTCGGCGGTCGGTAAATTATGCAAAGTAGTTGCGTAATGCTCTTGTTACAATAATTTAATCTTGTAATCTGTTTCTGTTTCGACTGCCACCGCTCTACCCTCGGCAAGTGCCATAAATAATTCAACTGCCCTGCTGCAGATGCCACCGAAAGCCCAAAAGGCTGCCGAAAAGGAAATATCCTTGAAGGAATCTTTGCATTTTTAATTTCAAGGTAAACAAGCGCAGATAACTTCGCCGCCAGAAACGGAATCCTAATGAGCCTCTCAAGGTGGTCTCCAGGATTGACATTTCAGCGGGACGGAGCACGTTAATTCAATTTCCGGGAGCTGAAACAAAAATAAAAGAAGGAAGGCACAGAGTTGATCCAGTCAACCCCTTTTGAGGTTTTTTTTTTCGAAGGGTAGGGAATGGGATGGTATATTAACGAACCCCATTTGTGGCAGGCTAATTACGACAAGCTCATCCCCTTGAAGAAGTCTAGGATGAGCATAGGTTTGGTACCATATATCTCTAAGATATGTTAAGAAACTCAACCTAATTACTCCTTTTTTTGCATCCTTTTAAGTAGCTCTTTAAGGAGCACACGTTAGGTCATAAATCAGCTGCCACAAAATGTATGTAAATCCACCGACGAAAAAACTGAAATCGCAGACAACGTAAAATTTCAATAATATTCCCGTCGTGTCTTGGCCTCCTGGCACAAGGTGCACAGGGTACGAAACACACACTAACACCCTGAAGCAATAACATTCACAGGATGTGTCTTTTCCTGAGGTTAAAACGGAGATGGAGTAGGAACTGGATCCGAACGGAAGCAATACACGTTGACACGTCGCACGGATACAAAATGTGGCGCTGTTAGTTCCGCCGTTTCGCTGGAGACAAAGGACGGCGGCGGCGTAATGTAACGGAAACTCTATTGAATTGCGATAAAAATCGCGTTTGCCAACGGTATTCCTTCCCCTTTTGAACCGCTCCACCTCCTTCGACCTGCGCGTCCTTGCAGGATTGCAGGAGACACGGGTTTAGCCATTTTAAAGCATACTTTGCGGCTTGTCAACAGGCGGCAAAATTTATTGCAAATGTACGCCAAAAGAAGAGTTGCACGAACTTTTGGAGTTGTGTGTGTGTTTAGACGGGTATATTAGTTAGTTCAATGATTTTGGTACAAGTATAGAGGATTTATGGATTATTGGGAGGTTAAAAATGATAATATAATTAGTTAGAGGAAATTTAGAGTTTTATAAATAGTAAGATCTCCCCATTTATAATTTTTTGCACCTTTGCACGTCATTTAGTGATAGAAATTTGTGGGAATTAGTTAGGCAAAGAACGAAGTTTAATAAATAAATATATTTCTTTTAATAATTTTACTAATTTATATATTTTACATTTTATAGGAATTCTTGACATCAGACAAAGTGTATTTAATATTCTATGAATTTTCTAGAACTTTCTCATCTTCTCACTTGTGGAAAATGCTTTTCCTGTTGACAATGTTATCGTTACGGTTATTGATTGAAATTTTTTACACTTTGCTTGTTGCCACATTGCTTCCCCTTAACCCTTTATATGTTTTTTTTTTACCAAGGGTTAAACGAAAGAGCGACAGCTGCTGCCAAAGCTCCAGCTTCTCCCTGTTTTTTTCTTGATTTGACAAAGAGTTGAAGCAGCCAAGGAGCCAGCCAGCTATCATCTGGAGCAGGTATGCCTGGTCTGGCTCCATAGTTTCCCCCTCAAAACTTCTACTCTGGTTCAGCTGGCCTACACGCACATCCTGTCACTTGCAGGACCTTCGGCAAAAGGACCATTCACATCACCTACACAATGACAACGGGGAGACGCACAATGGCCACATCAATTGTGCATTTCATTTAACTTGCCACGCCCGTGTGACTTTTAAGTGTTGCCGTATACGGTCTACCGTGGTCCCCCTTAACCCTCTAAAACCACTATTTAACCCTCCCCTGCTCGGGGATGTACCGAGGGCTGGACATGACAGCTTCTGCATGAGCAACTCTCTCTCTCTCGATTTGGATGTGGCCCTATGGCAAACATGTTGCTGCCAAAAGGCCGAAAGCCGAAAGCCAAAGCCAAAGCCCTTGTCCGTAGGTTTTTAGGTGTGTTTAGGTATTATCTTGAGTGAGGAAGGGGGGGGGGAGGAGGGCGGGGAGGCTGGTGATGAGCATGTGGCAACAACCAGCACCCACCAAACACCGAACACCGCCCACAGCAAACTTTGTGTGCGTTTGTGTCATTGTTAAATTTTGCGCTCGAACGATCTGCAACGGATGACATCCGTATGGCAGGCAAGTTACTTTTTGATTTACAGTATGCTACTTTTTATGCCCCTTTGGGTAAATTAGGGTTAAGGGTATATTGGTTTTTGGGGAGACTTAATTAGAATAAGCTTTAAACTACTTTAAACATTAAAAAGAAACATGGTGAAGTTCTGAATCAGAGTTGAGGAATCTAATACTATATTTATTGTGGTTTCCATTTTATAATACATATTATAATAAACATATAGATAAATAACGAAGTTAATGCATTAATAGTTATCAATTTGATGTACTTTTAAAACTATAATTCCCCCATTTGTATTAGGTATTCTACAGTTAAGAAGAATATTTCTCATTCAAATTTAAACTCTTTTCACTGGGTATTCTAGATTTATCAGACTTTTCTAAACATTTCTAACTGGTGGTCCATCAAATGCCTGGCTGTTCGTTGCGACCTCTGACCCCCTGGATCCCTGTTTCCTGCTTTCCCCCTCCGAAAAATCCCTCCTGTCCAAGG